TGTGTCTCGTATTTTGAAAGTCTTGAGAAGCATGTTCTCATATTCCAAAAATCTAGTCTCTCTCAATCAATTCGATCTCTTCCATTCTTGTACGAAGCACATTGCTATTGACTATCATTTTGTTCAAATTCATATTTCCAGTGGATTTTTTGTCGTCTCTTACATCTCCTCCATTGGCAATGACCAGCTAGTTGACGCTATCGTTGAGCCACTCTCAATCGCCAAATTTGTCAACTTGCTTCCGAAGATTGAAATCTCCAATAGGAGCTTCATTTTGCAGGGCCTGATAAGGACAATGCTAATTTGAAGATAAATATCAGTCGTCAATATCTAAGCTTGGGTCATACAATAGTTGCAGGTAAACTCTACAAAGCCTAGGTAAAAGATTATCTCAAAGAATTTCATTTGCAGCCAAAAATTTGTTATGAGTCAAACTATTATCATTAGATTAAGACTTACCATTGTAGCCAATAGATTGGAATTCATCACTTTGTATCTTATCAGAAACAGATTAGGGTTTATCATTTTGTATCTTCTCACTTTGTATTGGATTACATAAAGAGCTGTAAAGATTCCTTTATTTCAACCATCAATGAAATTTTGAAATTCATTATTCTTTACAACTACTCCACTGTCCGAAATATTTTTTTTTTTTTTTAAATCTTGGTTAAATAAATTGTAATTTTACAATTTTGCCCCGTTTCTTAAGCTTTACAATTAAAATTCTTAGAACATTAGGTCAACTTAGTAATTTTAACTTGGAGATTTTTCAATTGCTTTACCAATTACCCACATCTCTCCCTCTCTGCGTCTCACTTCTCTTTTACTTACATTTTGGATTTTCCCATGTCTTAAAATTTAATATTCCTCAAATTTGCAAGTGTTTCATTATTTTGAGTTCGAAATTAGAACATCTCATTATTTATTTATTCATCGACAAAGTATATATGTTTCAAAATTATCGATGTTCGACATCTCAAGTTCTAGGTATGGTTTTTTATTATGGTGCATTGCTCTAGTTTTGTTCTTTCGTGTAATAATAATAATAAAGAAAAAAATCCTCCACGTGTTTAATTGAATGTCGCAATGCTATTGACAATTTGATGTTTGTTTACCTTATAACCACACCAAGTTATGGTTTCAATTAAAATTATCATGTTTACAATGCATGTGAGTATTAAATTTTTTTCTATTAAGGTTAACCACTTTCTATAAAAATAAATATTTTTTTCTTTTAAATGTTTATCTATTATTGTAAATTTGGTAAACCTATTAGATAAAGAAAAGTATTTTACCAACAGAAATTAAAAAAAAAGAAAGTTAAAACTTTATCTATTGTATTATTTAGGCCTCGTTCGGGAGTGATTAAAATCCAATTAAAATTGAAAATATGACCGTTATTGAGCTCCACCCGTCTAATAAAAGTCAACAATAACAGCTATATTTTCAATTTTAATCCGATTTTAATCCCTCCCATACAAGGCCTTAATAAACTTCCTGATAAAAATTATGATTGATTAGAAGTAGTGTGTTCAAAGAAAAGTGTGGTTAAAAAATAGGTAATGATCGTGAAACCTACGAAACGTGTGGATAAAGGTAGAGTTTAATCAAATTATAAGCGATTATAATTTTTGACAAACATAGGTGTCTCTATTTGTCTTTCGATGGGGAAGGGGAGTAGGGAAAATGAGGAGAATAACCTTTTTTTTTTTTTTTTCTTTTCAGCTGAAAGATTTATGCTCCATAGCCTAAGCCCTTGTTTGGTTAAACTGTAAAAGTACTAAAAATCAAAGTCAACATTTAATTTTAATCACAAATATCATGAGCCCACAATTTTTTAACAATATGTTTCATGTTATTAAATTATACTGAAAATCTAATTTTAATCTGAATCAAACAAGGGCTAATATGCACTGAAATCTTGATCTGATGCTGATAAACTGTTCCCAACAACCAAGAGCTGATCATCAAAGTTAAAAACTAACTTCTCATTTGCATAAAGTTCTCCCAAAATTTGGTTTAAAAGCAAAGAAATAAGTTGTTCTATGTTTATATACTAATCATATATATATGTAATGGCTAGAGAATCTGCAAGCCATTTATTCAGTCTAAATTGCCAGAATTCCAGTTGAAAATATTGTTTCATTTGTATAAGGTGAGTTTGAAACATCAACAGATCTTGAAGATTCAGAACTGCATTTTTCTTTGCGCTCGTCCATCACTATTTGTCTGTATCTACATTCTGTGCTGCAAAATGCTTTCTCACCCCTGCAAATCATGTTCAAATGGATCATCGGTAATTTTCTGAGTAAGTTTGATACACTGAAGTCTAAACTCTAGAATACTGTATGAAAAAAAAAAAAATACCTGTACATGTATATATCTTTGCCATGAAGTTTCTTCTGGCACATATGGCATGAACTGAGAAAATCAGAAGCTGGAAATTCAGCAGCTTCTATGGAACTCGCCGGAGATATGTCGAAAACGCTTGCCCTTTTAGTCTTTATATTATTGTGTTGTATTCTGAAGGGGGTTCTGTCATCACCTTTCCTGCCATGTTCATCTCCATCAAAGTACACTTTAGTATATGACTTGTTTGGACCATGACAAGTCACTATGGTATAATCCTCCTCCGAATTGTCCATCTCCATTTCCTCTAAACCAACCCTAAATCTCGTCGAATTCCTGGGTGAATTGACCGGAACTGGGTTGGATCGATTCAAATTCCGGCCACACAAGGCTAGACTACCCTCACAAGATGTATCAAGGGCGGCCACAATGCCTAATCCTACTCCACAAAAGTCATATTTCTTTAGCCCGTATGTATTGCCGGAGATTAACGATCTCAATATCGAGTTCGACTTATTGTCTAACATGGCTAAGAGTAAGTATTGAGAGATATGATATGAGCTCTCAACCGAGCCTTTAAAGGGCTCTTTTTGAGGCTTTCCTATTTATGTTTTTGGTCTAAAATTATATATTTGATGATCTCATGCAATTGAACCACTTTTATAAATCGGAATCCAAACCCATTTTTTAATATGTCATTTGTCAGTGGACAATATATTTAAAAAAAACGTCCACGTCCAATGATAGGGACCCAATCCCTCGTGAGGGCCCACATGACTAAAGCCAAGATTCCAATAATTTGATGACTTATTTGCACAAATGGTCATTAATGTATGCCCTCCTGTAGAATCAAGGTCTGCTCTGTTTCAATCATGGCACCGATATTGTTACGGTGAATTTCTCGACGTCATTAATTTTATGGTCGAACTGCAAAATGCAAAATTGCATTGCACAAAACCGACCTTCATTCATAGTAGAATCTTACTTCAATTTTAAAATTTGAAAAAAAAAAAAAATAGCTTCAAAGAGAGAGAGAGGGGGGAGAGAAATTCAAAATTTTCTTATTATTCTCTTTTTTTCCCCCAACATTTCTATCCAATAACGAGAAGAATTATTCACGCACTTACAGGGGAATAATTCACAGGGCCTCATCAGGGCAATCACATGGTGGGCCTCACAATGTATTTAAAAAAATGTGCCGACCCCATCTATGTGAGTGCCCTCCAAAAGACTTTTGAAACAGGTCTCTGTACGTGAAACAGGGTTCCAACGAGAATTATTGGTTTCTAAAAAGGAACTCAAGCCTCATGCTTTTCTCAATTAGAAGGCTTGTCTAAAGTTTATACATAAATAGCTCTTTTGTTTCTTTTGCCAATGTGTGGAGAAAAAGTGACATTTTTTTAAAATATTTTTTTGATGTATAACATTTTAAAAAATACAAAAACATACACAAGAAAGAAGAAAACGGGTGAGTTATAATTCATTTTTTGCACTCTTCTTATCAACCACACATTTTTTAATAAAATAATATTACACATAAATTCAAGAAAATTTTCCTTCTTTTTTAACCATATATTCTCTAAAAAATTATTATTCCTTTTATTATAGCCATTGTTTGATACTCATTTTTTTCAAAATATATTTTTCTCTTTTTTCTTTCCAACCACACATTGTTCAATAAAATAATATTATACGTAAACCTAAAAAAATTCTTGTTTTTTAACCACCAACTCTCTATCAATATACTATTTCAAAATGTATTATTACTATAAAAGTAGGAAACAGACAGGCTCACAACGTGGAATGTGGGCCAAATGGGCGCTAAATAGAAATAATGTCTTAACAACAGTTTGAGAAGGGGTGTTTCTTATGGAAAATCAATGGTAGTGGCTAGAGAGGGAGGGGTTGGGATAGGGTAGTGGTGAGTTGGTGTTTCATATTTTCTAATTTTTGTTTTATATTTTAATTCTACTTATTTTAACAAAATTTAAGGTATAATAGTCTTTTCGATTAAAAAAAAATACTTTTTAATGATTAGTTGGACGTGCCCGTGACAGAAAGGATTGTTTTCGCACTTAAACATTCGTATGGGGATTTCAATGACAAGTTTAAAAGATAGATCCTGATTTTACAACAGGGTCATACATTAGGGTCCATTTGTGCAAATACGTCAATTAACATATGGGGTTTCGTGTTAAATGATTAATGGGTTTCAATTATTGTAGGACCCACTGATTTAATTTGATGTTTTATTGTATTTTGGACCACTTGCAGTGGGTCCCATGCAGGAAATTGATTTATGGTGTCCATGGAGAATTACTATAAAATATCCTTTTATTCTTTTGCTAAAGGGAAAAGATTTGATTTGATATCTTTCTTGTTAAAAAATTGCAATTGATTGAATGGTGGGTTGAAATTTTCTTTTCTGTCTTTACCAAATTTTTGTATTCAGAATTTAAAAATCGAATAGAATATTGATTATAAAAAATTAGAAAGTAAATGGTGAAATATTCAAATCAGCAGTATAAAATAGTATTAAAAATTAAAATTTTTTTTTCCAATTTTTTCACCTAAATCAAAAGAATAATGCTACCTAAAACGACTGCACAAGTGATGCTAACATCGGTATTGAGTCTATCGCACATTGTTTTGTGAAACACTATGTTGTGGTCTCCAATTATCGAAAAGTATAAACTTTTGATCCTCCATATTTAAAATGTAATACTTCGTCTTCATAATGGTCTTACGAAGGTGAAGTTTTAACTTTTTAACAGTTACAAAAATCAATATAGCTATTTGTACAAAATTTAGTTACAAAAGTTGGATTACAAAGTGTGTTGGCAAAATCCAGACCGTTGATTTCAAATGATTAAAAATCTGTTTCTAAAATGATTTGTGTAGATATTATTTTGTCAACCAATTTTGAAACTCAACTTTGTACAAGTAGCATAACTCTATAAAAACTGCTTTCATTAATTTGGGGATTTCAATGCTACTACAGTGAAAGGTTAAAACTTTATAAACTCCATTTTAAATGTTGGAAATCCTAAATATTTTACTTCACATAGCCGAAGACTCCAACACGGATCTCTTAATTGATATTGGTTAGATATGATAATGTTGAATAGGAATTCACGCATGAGTGTAAGGTTTGTCTCGCTCGACCTTTGTTTCTCTTTGACCAAATCCAACATGATTTATGTCAAATTAGAGGTGTCAATCCGGGTAGTCCGAGACGGGTCAGCCGACCAATATATGAGCCCGGTAACGGCCCGTGTGAAAAAAAGTCCGTCCGCTATGGATTCCTGGTCGGTTCCCGATCAGCCTACAAATTTTGGACTACAATCCAGGCACGCCCGCTAACTCATCCGGGTCGAGTCCATGCGGGTCAAGGGTCGCGATTTGTTCCGATTTTGCCTGTATTATTGCATAAATAAAATTATAAAAATACAGAATTTTTCATATTTATAACAAAAAATATTTTTTTGGTTAAATGTAAACTAAGAATTGAATAAAATGATAAATTCATATTTATACCAAAAAATGTATACACAGAATTCAAATTTAATGTTATATGAATTATTTATAACTTTGTAGAGTTAAATTTAATTTAAACAAATAACAAATAAATACATTTTTAATTAATACTATCAAATATTTATAGTATAAGTATATTCCAACTAAGTGGCATCTCCCCCCTTTTTTTTCAAAATTTTAAATTTTTTTTTAACTGGCCAACGGGTTAACTGTGGCTCGTGAAGGTGCAACTCGCGAAACCGCCAGGTCGGGTCATGGGTTGGCCCGCAGTCCCGAATCGATGTGGTCCGATTTTTACGGGTTGGTCGGTCCGTCCGTCTGACACCTTTATGTCAAATCATGCATTTGTAGATCATGTCTAGAGGTCGAACCGACGCTGACTGTACGAAGAAGTGAGTAAACACAACACCTAGATATATGTAACAAAATTTATTATCTGTAATTGCATCCTCTTTTAGATTTAAATTTATTTCATCCAATCTGGATAATTTGCTCGCTTACATTTCCAAATGTACGTATCGAAATTTATAAAATATCTTGCCTAATTTATGTATAGTACTTTCCTACTTTATCTTCCAAGAAATACAATTCACTTTCCTCTTTCTTCTTTAGCATTATAGAATAGACCGGGTCAAGTGGAGGTCGCCATCCTCGTCCCCACCATGCCCTATGAGTTTCTGCCCTATCAACCCCACACTTTCGAAAAGTTAACATTCTCTTCGAAAGTTTCAATAAAACATTTAAGAACTTTGAAATAAAAGTTTCTTTTCTTTTTCCCAAATCTGAGAATTTGATGTATCTTTTTTATTAGCTTATTTCCTTGTGACAATGAAATATATCAAATTTAATTTGATTGGTTTGTGTTATTTTTAGTATTCAATTTACGCCATAAACAACTTTTATTAAGATGGTGTTTTGTAGAGATTAAAATCGGATTAAAATTGAAAAATTAGCCGTTATTGTTGATTTTTATTAGATGAGTGGGACCCAATAACGGCTATATTTTCAATTTTAATTGGATTTTGAGTCGTACCAAACAGGCCCCAAGTCGGAGGTAGATAATTACTATTATTCGTACAAAAATATATTTTTCAAAAGAATTTTCAAATATTTTGTGTTCTCTTTCGGAAGGGTAAAATATTTTCTCTTCAATAAATATAGTTTTCCTTAAAAATAACAGTAAAGTCCACTCCAACTAGTGAGACGTGACATATAATTATAAATGAAAAATCAATTTTTTTGATGTTGACAACTTTCCCAACAAATGAAAAACAATATTAATAATTCTCTGAATTTTATATGAATCCAAGTGGTTGCGATGTTGACGCACCTTTAATGGCTGTAAATGAAATTCTTTTACAAACCTACCAAATATCAGTAAAATATTGGTGACTTAATTATTTGTTCACTTCACTTCACTTCAATTTAATTAATATTAATCTTCCGAACCCAATTCCGTTAATATTTGAATTACTCTACTCAATACGTTAATATTTTAAAATAGAACTCCAATTCTTTATATAACATTTGGAGAAGAAAGTATATTTTCTTTTAGCTAACACGGAGAATCTATTACTTTTATTGTTTACTTGTTTATTTCCATTTTCTCGCTTCATTAGGGATGGCAAATGGGCAAGTCGGGACAACCTCTGCCACCCTCTGCTTCGTCAGGTAATTTCCCACCCTATTACCTGTTTAAGGCAGGGTGGGGCAGGGCCCTTGTCCTGTTTTCTACCCATTTAATTTTTTTAAAAATTTTTGATAATTTATTTTATTGTCCTCATTCATTAAAGTGAGACAATAATATATTTTTTAATTTTTTTAAAAGTTAAATTATTCAAATATATTTGATAAACTAATGCTTTTATTGTTTATCATATATTTAGATAATCTTAATTGCCATTTTCTATTAGAACTAATAAAATTTCGTGGAGTTTTCCATTTAAAGTATTGAATTCTTAAATAAAACAAAAATAAATCAATGGGACGG